AATGAATCCATCTTTTCTGTATAAACATCATTTTATCATTTATTGATAAAACATCAAAAAATAAATCTTTAAAACATTGAAAATGTTTATAAACAGACCTAATTATAACCACATTAGAAAACATTAAAGGTATAGTTTACACAAAAATGTAATTGTCATTAATTACTTACTCTCATGTCGCTCCAAACCCATAAGACTTTGAATATATTTTTAACAGATGCCTTGTGTGTGCAAAAAACAAAACAAATTATGTATCGCGCGATACAGGTTGCACCATGAGATGACTGACTCTCACGCCACACAACACTGATGAATCGTGGTGCTCTGTGAACACGTGTTCAGCATTCACATCGCTTCATAATGTTGAGGTTAAACCATTGGAGAGAAAGTTATCATGAGCATTGTAATGTTTGAAACGGATGTCATAACAAATGTCAGTAGAACGGGATGATTTTAAAACAAGTGGTTCATTAATTAATCCGTACGATTTTAATAGAGTGTTTTCACTACACGTCATCAATCCGGAAGTCGGTCATTTTGGAGGCACTGAACGTAAACAATGCCACTGAACTGAACAGACTTGCATATTTGGCTGATTATTGCTGCTGAAAAATGGTCGTGTTTTGGCTGTACTAATAGGTCACACCGGGAAAAAAAAACATTTCAAGTTCTATAGACTGCCTAAAGTTAAAGAGAAGAGTGCAAAAAATGGATGAAAGAAAGTGTTTGTGATGAAGGTGTTTGTAGTTGAGAGGCAAAGCATCAGCCATGTGTAAATGAAGCGTTGACTATGGCTAAAATGTTAAAGTAAAGTAGTTAACTATGGCTACATTCACACGGTCAGTCAAATCTGATGTATCTTTGTATCCGATTGGGATCTGATCTAAAATGATGTCTACACTATGTATCGCAACTGTTCAGATCCGAGTCGTGTGTTCATGCAGCTCTTTGGAAATATGGCAATGACATTGCGTTGATGGAGGGTTTGCATTTGCAATAGAGATGTTGTCTTATTTAAATTTTACAACATGGAAATGTGTAGCCGCCGTGCTGGACTGGTGTTTTGAGCTGCAGAACTAGAGGAGGCTGGTGTGCACAGCTTTTTTCCGTGCTCGTATCTGCGCCGGTTTCAAATATAAAGCGCTTGTCCGGCACTTTGCAACAACACAGCCTTGTTTCGGCAGCGACTTTTAGCATGTTCCCTATTACAATGTCTGACTTTAAAATTTGCGTGGCGTGAGAAAGTCACATACCACGCGAAATCCGATCAGAGCGTTCGGACTGAAGCAGATTTCCAGATATGCGATTTAATAGGATTGTGGACATATGAATGTAGCTTGAAACGGATTTCATGTGCTTTTTTTGGACTGACAATCTGAACGTAGCCTATGTGGGATAAGAAATAGAAGGATGAATAGCAGTAAGGGCTAGAGAAACTAGCTCGTTCAGATCTTTACCAGATATTAACTTTAGTTCGTCAAAAATCCACGCTCTTTCCTGCTTACTAAGTCTAGCCTATATGATTTTGCAGCTTCCATGTGTTTTTTTCGTAGTTAAGACATCATAAATTAGTGTAACAATGTGTTCAGTAGTACATAAACAGTGCAATCAATGCTGTTGTTTACATCCGAGTATCTCGAATATAGCCGCGCATCTGGGTAACTGGCCAAATCGTGACGTGGGTGCAAACCCTCTATTGATTATTTTTATAATGTCTTACGTTTCTGAAGCTTGAAAGTGGTAGTTGCATAAACTGTGAAATTGAGGGACAGAAACCTCTCAGATTTCATTAAAAATATCTTTCAAAGATGAACGAAAGTCTTACAGGTTTGCAACGACATGAAGGTGAGTGACGAACATTTTTGGTTAAATTCTACACATTAAATCAGTTCCCTCAGAGGCACCAACAGATATCTTCCTGATCTCCGATCTTCTGGTTCTTCTGCTCCTTCCACCATCCCAACCCCGGATTATTAAGCCACGACTTAAGTTTTTACTTGAAATGCTTTAGCCTGGTGAGAAAAAAAACAATAACCAAAATGTACATTTAAAAAAAAAAAAAAAACAATGGCTGTCCGAAACGTAAAGTATACACTTGAGTTTTTCCTATACATATACGTGCAAGATTTCAGTCACAGATAAATTGTAAATGTTTGCTTGATCAGACATTACATGTTTATGCTGAAATATAATATTGTTTTTTGTTTTAAAATCATCTAGTTCTAGTAATCAGGGTAGTTCACTTTGAAATTAATTTTTGGTATGTTTTAGCCTACCTCAAGTGCATCCAAGATGTAGGTGTCTTTGTTTCCGCAGTAGTTTCAATTTTTATATTTTTAGGTCATTTTTAGTTGCAGGTCTATGGTCACCACCTAATAGAGCATGCACAGAGAAGTCCAAATTAAACATGATTTAATGACTCGTATATGTACACATTGATGGCCTAAGACACGAAACGAGCAGATTGTGAGAAAACGAACAGTATTTATATCATTTTTACCTCTTGTAACCACAGCCACGTCCAAGTGATGTGAAGGCGCAGGCTCTTCGGTCTGCGCAAGCGCCGGAAAGCGCCGAAAGTGATCTCTAATTGTTTACACAGAGATTTCGGAAGTGTTACCTTTCACTGTGAAGATCTATTTAGATATAGAGGAAATCGCAATGGAAGACGATTTCGATATATCAACAGACAACGTTGAATAAGTACCATTTCAATTAGCTGTCTTACCTACAATCTCTGTTCTGTGTAAACAATGAGTGACGTACACGTGCGAGAGAGATCACTTCCGGCACTTTCCCGACACTTTCGCAGACCGAAGAGCCCACGCCCTCAGATCACTTGGACGTGGCTGTGGTTACAGATAAAAACGATATAAATACTGTTCATTTTCTCACACAAACCGCTCGTTTCGTGTCTTTAAGCCATCAATGTGTACTTAATTTACGAGTCATTAAATCATGTTTAATTTGGACTTCTCTGTGCATGCTCTTTGAGGTGGTGACCAGAGACCTGCATTATATGCCTGACCGACAAGAACGGTTTGACCTAAAAAAATCGAAATTGAAAATACTGTGGAAACAAAGACACCTAGGCTACATCTTGGATGCCCTCGAGATAAGCTAAAACATACAAAAATGTATTTAAAAAATGAACAATCCCTTTAACCACTGACTACTGAGCTAGGGACCTGAGTGATAAGCACCCAGAGTTTAACACCTTGATTAGCTTGTTCAGGTGTGCTGGACTAGGTTAGAGGAAAACTTTGTTCTGAACATGACACATCAGAGATGCAGGATGACTGCTAGATTGATGACTTACAACAGTGGCATCCAGACCAGACCAGGGCCAGTGTTCTGCAGAGTTTCTGGTGATGTTTAGTCAGCTGCTCAGGTCTGATTAATTGGGGTTGGAGCTAACAATACTGAAAAGAGAAAGAAGACAACTGATATTATTAAGTTACATTATAAATAATTGGGGTTGGAGCTAACAATACTGAAAAGAGAAAGACACCAATATTATTACGTTATAAATAATTTGTTCTGTGTGTTCATTACCTGTACAAAGAATACGTCATCAATAAACTGTATTAATAACACTGTTTTGACGATTAGCTAGCTTAATTCCATTCATCCATTGACCAATTGCCAACAAAACCTTTACAAAACTATCAAAATAAATATCTAATCTACACATACAGTAAGATACGATTAAAAGCCCAAACTTACTGCTCAAGTCTAACGTTATAGTTAACCTAACTTACCTATAGTTAGCCTAACAGTTGAGATGCTAACGGACTTTTCTAAGACACTAACCAAGCAAATATTCAACGGAAGTGAGTCTTTTACATAAAAGAAATTGTCGGAAACATTTTTATGTACTATTTGTGTAATTTTAGGGACTAAACTTACCTGAAAGTAGTGAAAACAACAGCGAGAGATGGAGCTGTGCTGATCGTTGTCAGTTGAGCTACCGCCCGGTTTCCATGGTAACGTTGTCTGCTCCAGTTCAAATGCGGCTCGAATGTTCAGCGCGTGCGCCCATTGATTAAAACACGCAGAGTTACGCAGCATTGAATAGATGGAGTGAATTATTTGACAATCAGCTGAAACTTGATGCATTATTAAGTGGATAGTAGGCCTGTGGCCATCGTCAAACTATAAAACAATGTTTTAAGTCATGTAGGCTAATAGTCTAATAATATAATATAGCTTTAAAAAATGGTAAACGTGCTGTAGATTGTTTTTTTTTTTTTTTTTTTTTTTGCAAAAACATTGATTAAAACCTACATAAGGCATGCACATATTTCCTCATATAGCCTACACAGATTACAGATGAAACATGAGGAACAATTATAAACTATTCTATGTATTTTTTAAATACATTCAAGTCCGCAGGCCAAGCGTTCTGGTTTGGAGGAAAATGCTTAATGTGTAGGCTAATTAAACGCGTTGCATTCATATTCTGGGCTCATCTGATTTTTTGTACACAGCCTTTATTATGATTTTAGGCCTATCATAACGATTAATAAATGCACGCACAATTATCCGTGAACTTGATAAATGTTGCAGATATGTTTTACTATGCACAAAAATGCCTTTCAACTTACCACAACTCAGCATGTCTCAAAGACATGAGACATATCTATAGAGAGCTGGAAATATCTTTAAACAAAAACAATTCAAAACGAAAAGAAATAGGTACTCTCTGATTATGTAATCATTTTGTGCATTTCTCTCTCAAGGCGCGTTCGCTGCGGAGATGGAGATCTTCAACTTCATCTTTTGCAGCGGACACAGAAAACAGTTTATTAATAAAAAAAAAATGCAATAAAAATCAATGCACGCGTGTCACCGGATTTACAAATGCACATCTTGCTTGTTGCACGCACACATATTATGTCGAAATAACAAGATATTGTGTGGAAATTACATTATTATTAATAGGCTACATAAGAATATTTGATTGAATGTTGAATGTTGTGCTTATTTTAATTTAAATTAAAACCTGAATTGTGATAATTACAATAATTGAATATGATATATTGAGTGGCTAAGTTTTGCTCATTTATTAAAAGTAGCCTTTTTATACATAATTGCGAAGCTCCCCTGTCAATGATAGCACCCTTCAGCACCTGTTAAAAATGATCTGGCGCTGCCCTCAGACGGACCAAACAAAGGAGGCTACATTTTTCAAAGTCTTTTGGGCTAAATTTGGACCAAACCAAACGGACCAAATAGAGACCAGTTTTCAACGTCTATTTTCGGGCTAAATTTTGACCAAATCAGACGGACCAAACAAAGACCAATTTTCAACGTCTATGTTTGGGCTAAATTTGGACCAAATCGGACGGACCAAACAAAGCCCAATTTTCAACGTCTATTTTTGGGCTAAATGAAGGCTATGACGGGCCGACTTGATTTAGCCCAAAAAACAACGTCTTAATGACGTCTGGTGCTGGGTGGGATATATCGTAGAACAGGAGAGAGAATGTTTTATTAATGCATGAATAGTTATTTTCCTTTGTATAAATTTATTTTTTCATCGCATTTGTATATGTTATCCACAAGTTAATTATCTTCAAACTTTCAAAGTAAAATAGACTCTTTCTGTTTTTAGATTTTCCTTTTTTATTATTAATAATCTAACTTTATGGTCCTAATTAATTATTAAACATAGTCCCTTAACGTTCTCTTTCACTCTTTACATTTTGTATATTTGTCTTCATGAATTATTTAACAGAACATTTAACTTTCTTACATAATATAATAATAATAATAAAGGTTTCATTCATTCATTTGCGTTAACACGCTCCAGTGGAGATATATATATATATAATTAAGTAAGATAATATCCAGAAACTATAATATAGGCCTATATAGTGCAGCTCATTCAACGTTTCGGTAATACCCGTATAGTGATGCATCATTTTCTTATTATCACTATAAAGCTGCTTTGAAACAATCAGTATTATATAAGCATATAAACAGGGACAATCTCAAAACAATCTAACGATCTGTGCGTTCGCGAAAAGTCCAGAACGGCCGTCCAAAAAAAATAAAAATAAAATAGTCTAATAAAGCAATGTGAACAGCCAACAGCAGGGGCACTAATATGGGCAACGTGTAAAAAAAGGAGCTTTTCGCTCAAAAAAACAGTAGCACCTCAATGCAGAACATGAGATCCACGGGGAGGAGTCGGATCACGATCCAAGGGGTGGAGATGGGTAGGATTAGGGTTGGGTTTAGGGATTAGGGGTGGGTTTAGGGATCGGGGGGCGGAGTTGGTTAGGTTTAGGTGTATGTAAGGTGGGAGGAGTTGGATCTGGATCCGACTCCTCCCCATGGATTTCATGTTCCGCAGTGAGGACCATCTCATCGCGGACAGAGAAGCTGTGCCTGTGCGCGTGTGCGGCTGATCTCGGTTTACGCGGACGTTATTACCCAGAGCTGCGCGAGCAACGGACAAGCAGTTCAATATTACCATTATTGGTTTTGAAATATTACTTGCTGTGAATAAATAAAGGTGATTTGACTTGATGCTCAGACAACCAGCAGAGGGAGACACATCCTGATTAAAGCGTCCAGATTCGTCATGTACTGCTGCTCATCTGAAAGCATGTCTGAAAGTCAGTGTAAGCTATGCTTGTTAAAGGAGTAGTTCACTTTTTTTAAAAAACTTTTGCTGATAATTTACTCACCCCACGGTAATTTAAAAAATAAATAACAAAGTTTAAGTTTTAATGCTCACCTTGCTCTGTTCTGTGATGCACGTTCGTAACTCTCCTGTTCGAACGCGCTCATCAAAATGAACAAACATTTTTTCAAGTAATATCATTAAACGAACAAAATGAACGAAATACCTCGAAAAAAAGATTCGTTCATTTTGATGCACTAGTTCGAACAGGAGAGTCACACAGAACAGAGCAAGGTGAGCATTTGTGCTTATAAAACTTTTTTTTAAATGACCCATCGTTTCACTAGATAAGACCCTTATTCATCTTCTGGTGTCGTTTAAAGCCCTTTGAAGCTGCACTGAAACTTTCATTTGGACCTTCAATCGTTTGGTTCCCATTGAAGTCCGTTAGAAAAATGCTGGAATGTTTGCATCAAAATCTTTAATTTATTTTCGACTGAAGAAAGAAAGACATGGACATCTTGGATGACATGGGGGTGAGTAAATTAAAGTTTTTTTTAAAGAGAACTCCTTCTCCGTCAACACAACACAAGTGGCCCAAAACTTGACTTTGTAACTTTACTTTCAGCAAGTAGACAAAATTATAGAAGCCCATGTCTGCCATAATATACGAGAAACAATAATTTTTCTTTGGTAAATCCTTAAGATTTTAGTATGTCATAAATTAAATCATAATTATGATATAAAAAGTCGAAGATATGACACATGACATACTAAGACAATTAACATAAAAAGTTGAAAATTGCTTAAAAAGTCATAATTAATATAGGCTATAACGAGTCAAAATTATGACATAAGGGCCCGGTATTACAGACAGAGTTTAGATTAAGCCAGGATTAGCCTTAGTTCAATTAAGACATTTAAGTATAGCTTTCCTTAGAAAAAAAAAAAGACAAAACAATGGCACTGAAATATTTTAAGATATCTCAGTGCAAGTTGCTTTCAGTTAAAACATATCGAACATGCACTTTAGTCTTGGACTAGACCTAAGCCTTGTCCCTGAAACCGGGGGGAAAAGTCAAATCTTAGAAAGTCATCATTTCAATGTTTTATCTCATAATTATTACTGTCATAATTTCGACCTTATCTCACTTTTTATGTTGACTTTTTAAGTCAGATTTTCAATTTTTATGTTGACTTCTTAATGTCATAATTGTGACTTAAGTCATAATGTTGATTTAGTATGTCATAATTTTGAATGATCTCTTTTATGCCAAAATTATGATTTACCAAAACATTTGTTTTTCAGCAATGATTTCTTCTTCTTGTGTGGCAGAATTGGGCTTTCATACACAACCCTCACCTGGTTATGCAATCCCACTTTTTTTCTTTACTTCACTTCTTACATTTCTCCTCGCTTCCACATGTTTGACCCTACGCTCACCATTACATTGTAAAGCTTTTAGAGAAGTCAAGAGTTACTCTTTAAACCAGAGTAATCAGATCATTGTTGACCGGGTCATTGTAAAGGCATATGTTTAAAGCTCTGTGTCTGTGCCTCAGAATATCTGACTCAGGTAAGGCTGGTTTGGGGGATGTTTCTTCTTTTTCTTGTAATGTTTATAGAGCAGGAGGCTAGAGGTCGAACAGTCTCAGGGTCAGTTAACAGCCACATTTACAGTGCTTGAGGGAAGACATCATCGAGCCTTACATCAAGCCTTCAGGTTCAGAGAGGGGGGCATCATGACATCATAGATGACCTCAAAATGAACACTCATGGCTGTAAAATATTAGAGTTTTAAGTGTTCACACACACACACACATAGAGTTTTTATACTGTACACACTATTATCTGTCCCCTTACACTAACCCTACCCCTAAACCTACCCATCATAGGAAACATTCTGCATTTTTACATTTAAAAAAATAATTATTCTGTATGATTTATAGGCGTGTTTACCCATGGGGACCTCATATTAGGTCCCCACAGTGACACGAGTCCCTATGAGTCTATGTGCATTCAGGTTGAGCATTTTACCCATTTCAACATTAATCTTTATTGAAAGTGGATCATATATGTAGTCGAAATGTAATATAATTTTTGAATTTGTTGCCCTCTTGACTGAGAAAAGACAGAAAATAACCAAGGAGCGCATTTGTATGTAAGACAACAACTCCCACAATGCACCACATTGCACAGCTCCGCAAGCCACACCCACTAATCCGGAACTGCGCACACATCAGAAAATCACTCTTTCGTCAAAGCTAACGTTAGCTGTCACCAGTGTTTGAAATTCATTTCACACAAAATTTAGTTAGTTGGCTGTGGCGAGCAGGACGATCGAGGGCGAGGGACGTAAGAGGACGGCGTGAGGCCGGTGGCGTGAGTGATAATGAAAGACACCTGTGAGGCGCGCGCCGGTCTCGCGTCTCTCACGGAGGAGCGAAAGCATTAAATGAGGAGTGACGACGGCAGATCGAGAGAGACACAGGCCTGATTTTACGTTGTGTTTTGTTTCTGTTGTGTGTAACGTTACAGCAGTCGTCAATGAGGGACTGTTGGCTTATACTTTCGTTTTGTATTTGTTCATTTTACTATTAAAATGTTTAAATGGTCGCGGGTTCCCGCCTCCTTCTTCCCACAACAACAAACCCCGTTAACGTTACATTGGCATTAGTGACTTACTCCTCGTTTTTATTTATTTATATATGGTGAATTACTGCATGATACCTGGATGTTCAGTCAGGCGAAACTATGATGGTTCACATCACAACACAAACGTCCATGTGCTCATCCAAACCTATCTCACGAGAATTCGTACGAATTTTACGAGGTGGCTAATTCGTAACACTTCGTACGACCTCACTGGTACGAATTAGTACGTTTTTGCTAAATCGTACATATTTTACGAATTGGCCAATTCGTATGAATTCGTACGAATGACCTACCC